CTCAGGGATGAGCTGGGAAACCCCCCTTCATACCTTGCCCTGCCTCTTCCCCCAACCGATGCAGCCTGGGGCAGAACCAGGGAAAGGCCCCCATGCACTCAACAGCAGTGGAGGAAGTGGAGCAATGTGGCCCCAGCTCACTCTGCTCCCCTTGCCCCATCACTCTGCTGGTGAAGGATGCCTAGGGATTCTGGCCCCACTGGCTGCTATCTGGCCCCCTGCCCGTCCCACCCATGGCATTTGGGGGGCAGATGCCCCCTAGTGCCTTCCCACACATCACCTCTGCTTCTGCACATAAGCAAAAAACACATCAGTGTTGGCACGTGTAATTTAGGGTTAAGTACAGTCTTTAGCACATAATGACAATTCAGGTTTGATAAGAGAATTGTTGTAGTTCTTGGAAGACACCTAGTGTGCACTTTCATACAGAAAATATCAATTTTTTCCCTCTTTCGGTGTGCTCAGTACTGCAGGGGAGCACTAGGAAGAAAACTCACTTCTCTACAGGATAAGAAATGGCAACGGCCAAGAACAGGAGGCAAGGTAACCTCCCTTCTTTCATTATGCATTTGCAATGATGACACTGTCTTTGCTTCTTTCTAGCCTCAGAATATGTAGGTTTTATTGCTTTTGTTTTGATTTCCCCAAAGGTAATAATGGATTATTTATATTCAAATAAAAATTTGAATGTGTACATAGTCAAGCTGATGGGCAACAGACATATTTAGGCAGCCTCTGCTTGCAATGCAGGATTTAGCTAAATCGTCTCACTGTGAAAGGTATGAAACATGGGGGAATTCACCATCTCCCAGTGAGAGTGATGGGATATGCAGTCTGTCATAATTTGAAGAAACACAAAGGAAAATCACCATAAACTTATCTTAACACTCTGAGTAAATATCCCAGACCTAAAAAAGAGCTCTGTGTAAGCTTGAAGCTTGTCTCTAGTTTCTCACCAACAGCAGTTGGTCCAATAAAAGGTATTTTCTCACCCAGTTTGTCTCCCAGTAAGGGACAGACTCACCCAACCTACTAGTTTCTAACATGGAGAATGGGCTGAGAGAAATATGGGGAGTAGCAGGGGAAAAAAATCACTATTTGTCCACACCCAATCTTTAATTCAATTGAGAACTAATGTAGATTGTGGATACTTTTCTTTACACAAATAAAGAAGAAAACTTTAAACTAATTCAGAACTTCTCAGGTATGCCTATTATTAGCCTCTATAAATGCATGTACTTTTAGTACAGTACTATGTGGGGACAGGAGTACACCCAAACAAATCAGATTTCAGGTACTGTATCATTTTATGTGTTTGCACAATGCGGCCCTAAACCTGACTAGAACCTTAGGGCACTACTACTATAACATACATACATACACACACAATGGTTTTCCAGGGAGAGGGGAAACACAATGGGAGATGGGTGAGGAGCTATTACTATCAACACCCTCCTCCCATCTGCCACTGAGTGGGGACTGGGAGAATTGTACCCACGTAGAGGAGAGAGTAGTCATCATCATCATCATCATCATCAACAATCCTTCCACACATTCTCCCCCCCCCCAACGTCCCCTGTACCCGAGAGAGGGGCGAGGACCCTCCCTCGCACACAGCCCCTTACGAAACAGAGCTGGGGAAGAGACTGTTTCCCTGCCTTCCGATCTGAGGGACACTCACTTTCTGTTGTCCTGAGCTCAGCCTGTTACTCCCCCGGTCTGAGGTGAGCCTAGCGTAGCTGCCAGTTAACACGAGCACACGGGGGTGGAGGTGTCGGCACCAGCCAGCCCGCAGAGAAGAAGCGGGGCGCCTAGCAGCGAACTTACTCACCCCACCGGCTGCTGCCGCTGGCCCCG